GTTACTTGATACAAAGGCCTAAGCCTAATGACCTTATACAAGACACTCTCTGTTACAAATCCTAGGATAACAGAATACATAAAGCAAGAAGAGCCCAGCAGAGCTGGTCGGAACTCAAATAGTTGTTGAGATTCATGCACTTGGCTTCAGATCCAAAGGGAACTCGAGTTAGGGGCCCAGTGAAGGCACCTGTGGTCCAAGCATCCTGGGATAGGTCTTCAAAGTGATCTCAGTGGACTCTCCAGAACTGTCCAAGGATGATACAACCACACATAGCCTCTGAAATAAAAAGACAAAGCCAAATGTACTGCTTACTATAGTAAGAGAAATCTATACTTGTCAGGCATCGTCTCCCCGAGCAGAGGAGAACACTGATCATCCATGGGGATTGGGGACAGCATGGAGTTCAGGGACTGGAGGACATTCAGAGGAGCAGTGAGCTGACATCCCTCATAAAGTGGGGTTACTCGGTGAGACTGCTATCAGTTGATTGGTGCTCAGAGGTGTGTTTATTGGGCCGAGTCCTACCTAATTGGCTGACTGTCAGAAGTGAGGGCTGACACCAATTTGTTGGTTTGTGAGTGTATATTCACAGAGCTGCATTGTCCTTGATCAACTGAAGAGGTTTAAACAAGTAACAAGGCTCCTATTACCATAGTTACAGAACAATCAGTCTTTTCTTAAGTTTGCAGGAACATTTTTATTCTTCTCTCTTAATGTGTAAGGCCATTTCTAGCTTGAACATCCTGATTCATCCATCCATCTCCCATTCTGACAATGGCCTGGTCTAACCTGCAAATTGCCTGAAACAACGTTTCCAAGGTAAAAGTCTTCATCCCTTAACTTCAGTACCCACAAGTGATGGTAATCTATCGCTTATTTGTGATATTAATAGGGAGGTGAAGCAGAATGGTTAGAGGAAATAAAAGAACATGCCAGATTTATGATTAACTAGTAAATAGTTATTTAGCACGAAACCATTTTAGAAGAATGAGAAGTCTAACACATAGGTACATGTCCCCCAAAGAACTCATTTATTAGGAGAGATAATGCTAATTGGTCACTTAGAAAATGTTTATATATGAATCTTAAATAGTGAGGTATGTGCTATAAATGATATAGCATTACAAAGAATATTAGGAAAAGTCTAATTTGGCTTGGATGTGCACTTTTTTTTACCCTACTACCTCTCTGTCTGTGAATCTACTAATAAGCATGTTGAGTAATTGATAGAGTAGTTAATAGAGTGTATTCTCCAGACTTGGTTAAGTGGTTTATTGCAATCATTGATTAGCGGAGTGCAAAGAGCTAAGCAGCCCATAAGTCAGACAACCACAGGGCGAGCAACCAAATCTACCATTTAAAGACATGAGAAACCGGAAACTCCTCAAACAACAAAGATCCCCTCCCAGCTGGAGCCTCTGCTGTCCCAGAGGAGCCACTGTAAATCAATGATGCTCTTTCTTCTGTAAAGCGAGTTGGTGTTGAATGCCCCACCAAAAGAGGGCGCAGTAGAATGATCAACATTTCGCATTAAGGTCATAGAAAATGTGATTTTCTGAGAAACAAGGAGTTTCATGACTAACCTATAAGAAATTCCTGACTCAAAGCAAGCCACAAAAAGAAAGTATTTAGAAAAATCATATTTGCGGCCACCCCATGGTGCAGCAGTTAAGTGCGCACGCTCTACTTCCGTGGCCCGGGGTTCACAGGTTCGGATCCCAGGCGCGCACCTACGCACTGCTTATCAAGCCATGCTGTGGCGGCATCCCATATAAAGTAGAGGAAGATGGGCATGGATGTTAGGCCAGGGCTAGTCTTCCTCAGCAAAAAAGGGGAGAATTGGCATTGGATGTTAGCTCAGGGCTGATCTTCCTCACACAAAAAAATATATAAAAAAAAGAAAAAACATTTAATTTGAATTCAAAGTAGAATCCTGAGAGGTGGAAGAAGACCACATAGAACATTAAAAGAATTGTTAAAAAATGAATTTAGAATCTTTGGTGGAAAGGAGCCCTATGGATGCGGGCTCCCCAGCGGCCACACTGAGAACCCAGTGAATACAATGCTTGTAGGTGCACATTTAGCTGAAACACCCCATTCATGTGAGAGAAATCATCCTCAGGATAAACTTATGAATAAAATAAAGGAGAAATCTTTTTTTTTTTTTTTTTTTTTTTTTGTGAGGAGATCAGCCCTGTGCTAACATCCGCCAATCCTCCTCTTCTTTTGCTGAGGAAGACGGCCCTGGGCTAACATCTGTGCCCATCTTCCTCCACTTTATATGGGACGCCGCCACAGCATGGCTTGCCAAGCAGTGAGTCGGTGCGCGCCCGGGATCCGAACCAGCGAACCCCGGGCCGCCGCAGCGGAGCACGCGCACTTAACCGCTTGCGCCACCGGGCCGGCCCCAGGAGAAATCTTTAAGAGTACACTTTACTCAATGTTAGAACTATCACACGGTGGAAAATTCTTGCAGATACAGTGAATGTGTGCTATATTTGGGTATAGCTCATCCTTCATAAGAACCTAGCAAAATTATACTGAAAGAATCCAAGGTTTTATAGTACAACTGCCAAATGCCCACACAAGCAGGCCTTCACTTAGGGCACTAAACATTCCTTTAGAGGGACCACAATTTGGAGTGATGGGTTTCCATAAAACTGTATTATAATGCTTGGGCTCCCTTTCCTAAGACTAAGTTTTATAGAAATATTCAAATCCTACAGTTAAATGTAGGTCACACACCTGATAACAAAACAACCACGGTGATCCTGTGTCTCTCAGATGAATGAGGAGTTACTGTGCTCCACTCTAACATGGCAGCCCCTTTGGATACAGGTCAGGCCTGGATCTGAGTGTACAGCAGAGTCTCAAAAGAGGCGGATATTCTCAGTGTCAATCATTGGGAAAGAAGATGGCTCCCCAGAATGGAAACCTTGTAACTGTTTCCATTATGCAATAGAAAACTCGTACAAATAGATAGAATGTGCAATATTGGGGGGTATATCTCATCCTTTATAGAAGGCTGGCCTTATGTTGATAGTCCTGTTGTGGGGCTCATCGTGTCTTGCAGCTGGAATTTGAGTATATAAAGGACTAAGCATGGGCTTCTGGAATCCATCTGAAAAGGCGATTGACCACAAGGAAGGCAGAGAGGGAGTGAGCATGGGAGGGATTGGCTGGTTCCCAAGAATAAGCCATATCTCAAAAGCCAGAATATCTAGTTGTCTATTGCCATATTTATTTCTACTGTTATCCCAGTGACTTGGTTAACATCTAGTTTAAATGTTCCACCTTTCCAGCTGTGCTATAGAGAATTAAGAGGTGGTCACAAGGGAGTCACAACCCTAACTGGCCAGTGTTACCAGTGAAGAAGAGCTAAGAAGAAGGAGAATTTCTGGGGGATTTAAGAGTCAGGACCAGAATTCCCCTTCCATTGCCATCTTTGGAAAATGGGGGGAAATGGCTTCCCTGATGGCATTTTGGGATTGAGTTTTATTAAGGAAATTGGTAGGTTTTCCTGTTTTCCTTATGCTGAAAAATGAAGCTAAATATTGTGTTTGTATTTCTATAAATGAATTCCCTGCAATGCGTTCCCAGATGTGTACTAATAAAATAAGAAAGGTAACTGTGGCTCCATCTGGAGTGAGACTGGGGTACAGAAGGAGAGGTTGTCCCTTCTTATTTTAAGGGTTGCAGTTTTATGGACTGTTTGTTTCAATATTTATGATCTTCTTTTTAATTGTACAATACTTGATATTTCATGGTTTTTCAAATAAATGACAGGAAAGCTATCATACAACTTTGATAATTCTTACATCAACTAACATTATCTTAACGGTAGTGTTCCTATTTACAGTCAGTTATTCTGTACGACAGATAGGTCGGTGCCTTTTGACTCCAATCTATAGATGTAGCCATGACCTGGTTAAGTAGGTTAGATTAACGAGACAGGGTTTCTGACCTAGTCCATTGCCTAAAAGCTTGTTTTCTACTTAAGAGCGAGCTGTGTGATTCTCCTTTTCAAAGGCACTGGGGTCACAGAAGGCTAGAGTGGAGAATAATAATATTTAATGTCAACGTAGTCTTACCCACCAGTGAATGACTGAATGACCCGGAAACTGTCCTGCATGTTGATTGGATCAATTAATTTGCTAACTTAGTAAATATGCCCATTGCGATTTCTTCGTGTTTAGGCGGCCTCATCATCAGACAATCCTTATTTCAGTCCCCAAGAATCTAAAAGAGGACTGGAACGGAGGGAAGAGCCTCCTTTCCAAGGAATTCCACTTCCTTAGAGAAGTGACCTGAAACCGGAGAGCCCGATTCTGTGGGAACCTGCCCTACGGCGGACTTGGGAGCCCCCCTGTATAGAGAACCTAAGATTTGGAGTCTCTGTTTTCCAAAATGTGGGAGGAGGGGAGGAAGTCGGAACAAACCCAGAAAGAGATAAACGTGCTGGGGAGGGAACCGTCCCAAACAGTAACATATGTTCTGGAAGCACAGCAGTAGGAACCGTACACCAGAAGAAAAGTTCTAGAAAATTCTAGAGAGGATTTTGGAGAGGATTCACATGAACTCAGAAAGTTATAAAGATTTTGGAATGTCAGGTCCTGAGTATACAGGTATTTAATAAGGATTTAGCACACTGTGGAGTGCTGGTGTATCTTTGTCACTCAGTTGCATATACTGCATAACCTGCTTATATCCGTTGTTCCCTGTTGAACAGACAGCAGTTGAGAATCCCTCTTCACGTTTATTATGGATGCTCCTGTTTTCCTTCCATTTCTAAGATGTAAGCAGACCTCCAGTTCTGTCACCACGTTTTCGTAGCCGAGGATGGGCCCCACAGGCTGCCAGGTGCCAGCACCCCACAGACAAGGACTTTCTCTTAAGTGGCTGTGTGGGATCCAGGCATCAGTGTTCAGGTTCAGCTTACTATAGCTGGCAGGCATAAAGATGTGGCTCTTCGTGAAGCTTCTGCTCATCTTTTCCAGGTGAAGCCCTCTGATCAGCAGCCCCAGATGGTGTTCACCGTCCGCCATGCCACTGTCACCTTCCAGACGGAAGGGGACACATGGAGGGAACAGAAAGAGCAGAAAGCCGCCCTAATGGTGGGCATCCTCATTGGCGTGTTTGTGCTCTGCTGGATCCCCTTCTTTACCACGGAACTCATCAGCCCCCTCTTCTCCTGCGACATCCCCGCTGTCTGGAAGAGCATCTTCCTCTGGCTTGGCTACTCCAACTCCTTCTTCAACCCCCTGATCTATACAGCTTTCAACAAGAACTACAACAGCGCCTTCAAGAACTTCTTTTCTAGGCAACACTGAGCACAAGGCCTGGGATAAGAAGGAGTTATTCCTATAACTCAGTGGAGTTTCCAATTTAATCTGTTCCCCATCCCCACCCAGCAGCCACGTGGGAGAGACAAACCCTTAAAGTTATCCAGGGTCTTCTGCAGAACTAACTAGCCTCACTCCTAGGTAGGAATGTGAGTCTCCACAGGCAGTTTTGGTGACCTCATTTATCTACTATTCCTCACTCTGCACCTAACAGCCACGGATTTTGCCTACATAGTGCCCTTTCCTCTCCAAAATCCACTCTAACACGGTTATCATCCTTGTCCCAGAGAAGTCAACAGGCAGATGAGAGAGAGGAGAAGACCAACATGGGCAGGTTGAGAATGGATAGAAAAGAATGAATAAGAACTCATAAAGGATCATCGGGGGGTAGGAAACCATCATCAGGTTTCCTGGGATAATTCCCGTTTAAAATATTCCATTCTATGGTCCTGGTAAGTACACCCTAATAATATTTGGCCACAAAATATTGTCTCCAAACATATTAAAGTACATAGCCACATCTGCAACATCAGTGAATATTGGCTTTCTGGTTTTATTTATGGCAAACGCACACATGGAACTATAGAGGAGGCAAATGTTCCCATTGGCTAGTTGATTCTCAAATGCAACCCATCAGCTTGGAAACAGGAACTAAAAGTCAAATCAAATAACTCCTTCCTTTTTTTTTTTTTTTGTGAGGAAGCTTGGCGGTGAGCTACCATCCACTGCCAATCTTCCTCTTTTTGCTGAGGAAGAGTGGCCCTGAGCTAACATCTGTGCCCATCTTCCTCTATTTTTGCATATGGGATGCCGCCAGAGCATGGCTTGATGAGTGGTGCGGCGGTCCGTGCCCGGGATCCGAACCTGTGGACCCCAGGCCACCGAAGCAGAGCACGAGAACTTAACTGTTATGCCACTGGGCTGGCCCCCCTCCTTCCATTTTGAAGCAACTGTTCACAAACAATAGAAAAATTTACTAGTTTTGTGGAATCTGTCCAACTTGCTTATTTGCTGTGAGTTTCATTTGTATGGAATTTATTCAAATATTGCTGGACAAGGACCTTTATCCTTGGATCATGAAATTGGAGTAAAACAATTGTCACGAAGTTGGTGACTTCTTAAATATAGTTTCATAACCAAGGGCTATGAAGGCACATTCACCAAACACATGCACTTTTAGGAGATCGTTGACTAATTTGCTAATTGCTATTTTTTTATTGGTATGTGAATGCCTGCTATTAAGCCAACACTGGTAACTAATGAGAAAGGCAGAAATATGGTCAAATGTGACCTCAGTCCTCTACAAATGTATACCCCTATATAATTGCTGAGGCAAGACAATTAAGTGATGGTGCAACCTTTAAACAATCATATAAAACCCAGGCCATTATACAAACTTTAGAAAGATCTTGGGCAATATAACTGCCTGTGGTTGGCTATGTCCCTGACTCTCTGAGTGCACGAATTAAAAAATTATGTATTATAATAATCTTTGAATTGTTATAATACACAAAAAAATCTGTATTATATTGTATACAATAAATTGTATCAATTAAGATTTCAAAAAGGAGATTTGTGTTCATTTGAGGTCTTGGTTTGAAGTTTAGTCTTGCATTTGCTGCAAAGATGGTCTTTATTCAAAGAATGCGAGCAGACGAGGAAATGTTACACAGCTTGTGACGTCATGACTGATGCACTAAATGCAGACTTCTCCTTGAGGCATTGGAGCAGATTCATGGAGGAATTTACTTGGAAACATCCTTAGATTTTCCTTCTTTCTGTATATATCACTTGAAGCGCCAAACCCACAAATATTTTAAAATACAGACTGTTCACTTACTCAAGTTACCTCCCATATTGTTAATTTGCAACCAGAGAGACCGCCCAATGCTACCACATCCAGTGTCATAATAAGAGAAGTGCTTCCAAAACCTCGTGAAGTGCCCACCGCAGAGAAGGAGAGACTAGGACATGGGGACCTGGAGGTATGACGTCTGAGTCAAGGGTAGAGTTTTTAAAAGTCTGTTCTATTGGAAAGTCCATGTGAAAACTTTCATTCTACTCCATACGTTCAGTGTTTGTCTTATGGTTAAAAACAAAGAAAAGGTTTATTTCCTTCAAGCTTTCAGTGCTATGAGGTTTTAGGAAGATGTGCCACATGTGTCTAGTGGCTTGAAATACTTCTTGACTCTCCCTGGATGCTGTACACCTGTTGGAGAAAGATGTTATTATAATACTAATTTCAGTCTACTGAGGTTATTATTAATATTTTCATTAGATAAATAAATCTCTTTACTGTTTTTATTCAATATGTATTTAACACCTCCCAGATGACACTTAAAATATACATTGTATAAAAGACACTCTACATATGCTACTGACAGCAAGAAACACTGTCTGCAAGAAGGAAGAAGTGGCAATTAATGAATTATTTTGCTTTCATTTCAATACCACGTTTTTTATGATGTGGTAAGAAATATTACAAGATGCAAATGTTGATTAAGCTTGGCTGTCTAGCGTGCAACTCAAATATTTGTGAAACGCTTTCATTTCCTTTTGTCTGCTAGTATTTTATCAGGTAAGCAATTAACATGAACCATAAACAGAAAGTAACTGTTAAAAACATCAGCCCCTATTCCTTGTGCCCTGTTGCCATAACCACCTTCATTAGAAGGAGCACTTAGAGAAGGTGGGAGGATTTCTAGCAAGTCTATCTAGGGTAACCTCTCCTACGCCCTCTATTTCAGCTCCTGTGGAACATGTCAGTAAAGTGACTCCACCCGCTAGTGCTGATAAACGGGAGACACTTGAGATTAACTTCTATTCCACTAACACATCGATCACATAACTTTTGGCAAAGTGTGCTGTGCTGCCCTTCCCGTCTTCTGGAAATGACGGGCTTGAGATTCTCTCCGATACCTCATAATAAGCTTCTCTAAATTATCGTTCATTCTGCAGACGTGCCGCTGGAGGAAAGGTGGTCCTCTGCTGCACAAGGCTGGAGCTGAGAGTGCAGACCAGTTCTGCTTTATCAGCTCCTTCCTGTCTGTCAGGCTCTGCCCTTGGGGGGCCCAGAGAGAAGGCACAACTCATTACAAGGCCTTTTACACCTCTTGACCTATCACATGGTAAGAAGGACCCTCACCACAGCTGCTGAGACCCCAAACCCACCTAACTTCTAGACCTCACACCCCACACACTTACCTAGTCATATTTTGTGCACAGAGATGGGGCCTCTGGCCATATACTGGATGTTTCTGTGAACAGGAATGAAGAGTATCAAGTGCCCCATGCCCAGACAAGCAGACCTTGAGAGTGGTGGCATTTAACACAGGTCACTTCAGTCTTCCAATTTCCATATTCGCTGCTGGAAACTGAACTTGGGAGGTGTAACAGGCTGAGTTGGGTCCCCCCAGAATTCATATGTTGAAGTTCTAACATCTAGTGCCTCGGAATGTGACCTGTCTGGGGGATAGGGCTTTTATAAAGGTGATAAAGTGAGGTCATGAGGGTGGACCCTAATTCAATCTGACTGATGTCCTTATGAGAAGAGACGAGGACACAGACACTCACAGAGGGGTGACCACGTGAGGACACAGGGAGAAGACGGCCATCTACATCCCAAGGAGAGAGGCCTCAGAAGGAACCGACCTTGCTAACAGCTTGATCTCAGACTTCCAGCCTCCAGGACTGTGAGAGAATAAATTTCTTTTGTTTACACTACCCATCTTCGGTGCTTTGTTAAGGCAGCCCGAGCACACTAATCCAGCGGTTTAGCCTTACTGGCGAGAGTGGCAGGTCAGATCCTACAAGCGACATTCCCGATGTACAACAAGTCAGAGTTTCAGTGTGAGCTGAAGGAGAAGGAGGACTGTTTCACAAAGGAGAAGGGGTCTGCTTCACAAAGGCAGACAACCTGAAGCCTCCTTTTTGGCATCAGACAGGCTACCTGTCTCTCTGCAGCGAGCGGCTTTGTCCTGACCAGGCACCTTAAGCGGGGATGGAGGTCCTGGCCCTGGATTGGAGAAGGCAGGCTGAAAAGGGTGGGGGGCAGAGGAGCAAGAAGGCCAGTCCCACTTGGCTTTTCTCCTCCTCCCTGCTCCTCGACTAGGGGAGTTTCCCCCCAGACACGCAGTTATTCCTGCAGCTGGACTGTAGGCGCAGGCAGGAACGAGGACAGACCACACTGATGACCACCCTGCTGGTCTAGCATCAGCAAGAACCACACCGTTAATAAACACATTCCCTTACTATTTTACAACAAAAGGGGCTGCCTTTTGATGTCACCAAATATATAGTCTTTTAGAATCTTTTTGACAGTGTACAGTTTGTCTCATGAGCTTAAATTTCTTTCTCTATTTTGGGACCCGTCCAATGTTCTGATAAGGTCAAAGATGGGAAGGATCTGGGTAGTGACTCAGCTGTGCCTCGGGATGTGTCGCAAGCGCGCTGGAGGAAGACCTGGCAGGTAGCTGACAGCCACATTCGAGGGACAAAAGCAAGAGCCCAGCTCCGCCATCCCATTAGTCATGGTTTTGAAGAAGGCCAACAGGTGAATATGAGAGAGAGGTGGGCCAGTGGGTTCTTAGTGTCTCTGGTAATACGGTAAAAAACAGGAGTTTGGAAATGACCCTGTCTATGTGTGTGTGTGTATGTGTGATTTACAGAGAATGTACGAGGCTGCACAATTTAACAGGCAGCTAGAGGGCCCCAGGCTGTGTGAGCCTGAAACCAACCAGGAAGCAGAACGCACAGGAGCTCTCTTTACAGCAGTAGCTTCAACACCCACAACCCTGGTCTCTAACTCTGCTCTCTAACACGTACTGCTCTCTCTTCTGGGTTTTTGCACGCTCTTCTGCTTAGCTGTTTGTCCCTTCGTGCACTGATGTTTTACCCATGGAGGCTTTCGATCTGTTACGATACCTGGTGGGTATTGCAGTACTGTTCATTGTCACAGCTTTCCTAATCTTCTTAAATGCTACTTTCCCCTTGAACTTTACTATCAACTTGTCTAGCTCCAGATAAAATGTTGTTGGCCTTTTTATTAGGATTGCATTAAATGCCTAAATTAACTTGAAGACTGTCATCTTCATGCTGCTGAGTCATCCTATCCTAGAACAGGGGATGCCTTTTATTGGATTTTAATCCGTTCATTCTGCACCACTCCCTACCCTAGCCACCTTGTCTCACCGCCTCTGCAGAGTGAGTCAGAGCCCGAAACCTTCAGCTGGGCTGCTCACGGGCCTTCTGGGCTCAGGACAGAGTTCTGGCTATGGTGCTGCACAAATCCTCCAGCGAGCATCTCTCTCCTGGGCGGAGCTTTCTTAATTAACACAGGTTTTCATCCTCTGCCTTAAATCTTTCCTAGAAGAAGCAGAGGA